TTTCAATTCCACATGGGTTTAAATCTAACCACTACTACTTTTAATCATTTTCTTTACCAAATGACTATTTTTCCCTTCTATTCATCCTTTTTTTAATTCAATCCTACACAATATTTCCCATATAAGTCCCTAAACTTTTCAAGTTATCTACTTTAGTCACTAAATTCTGAAGTTTTATAATTTAGTCACTAACCCAATATTGAGGATGTTACATTCTAGTTAGCTCGTAGAATTAATTCAACCGACCATTAATTATAGTTTAGAGAGAGAGAAATCTTCGAAATATATGATGATTAAACCAAATCAAACATATGGGCAGCTGATAATTAAATCCAACAAGACAAGCAACAACAAGAAAGATTGCCCCCAACATTAAGTGGATATGCCAACCCCTACTAGTTTTAATGGCCCGCTAGAGGTGCGTGTGTCACGCGTTTCTGAACAGCGGGTGGGCCTTGTAACAGTAACAAACTAAAACGACTGGCAAAAAACTCAAAGAAAAAAGCGAAGATGGATCGATAAGATTGATTCAAGTGATAAACAGTTTGATATCATTTAAATAGGTTTCGAGTTTAAATCTTTATGTATGCAGAAAATTTCTATTGAAAGATTTATCCACCACATATAAATGTGCGATCCAAATAAATTCAAATTAATCAAGACAGAGTTTTAATAGCATGAATGACAAAGTATGAAAAAGAAAAAAGAAAAAGAAAAAGAGCGAAGATGGTATACGGAAAAAGGACCATACCGATACGATAAATGTTAAACACACCCACGGATACTAGCCTCGACCTGGGCCCCACTCTCCGTTGCTCTCTTCCCCATGCATATTTAATAATAATAATAAATAGGACAAGTTTGAGTATACTTTAATGCTAAGATCACCTTTGATACTATTGATTTATTTAATATAAATTACATGATTAATCAATTTTAAATATTTTTATTGTTGAATTAAAAAAATATGATATTTGGTCAATTTCTTTTTTACTTAATTAAGATATGATCATTGAGGGTTAATTATCGTTAGATCTTTAATAAATTACTAATGTGACACAATGAATATACAAAATTAAAAAGGATAACCTACACAAATAATCACTAATATTTAAGTAAATTTTTATTTTTACTACTGTAATTACAAAAGTACCAAATTAGTCACTAAAATCAAAAAGACGATTCTACTTTTCTTACCAGTCATCTTCACGATATAATATAATTTGCAAGCTGTGTTACATTTCTTATTTTCTTGAGTTCAGCCCATGCATTTTATTAATCTAAATATGGTTTCAACATAAACGTATTTGATCGGTTAATCAATTTTAAATCGTCGAAGGCCATATAATATCAAAAAGTCATGCATATCGAATTTCAATGGCAATATTATATGAAGATATCACTGATTAGGTAAAATCTTATTAAGGTAAGCTAATCATAAGCTTCTAAAGCAGAATGGAATCAAGCCAACTTTTTTTCTCCATATTTCAATGTGTAGAATGCTCCGGATTAACTTAGACAGGGATGGACCTAAATGGACGGGTAAGGGTGGTCACCCCTTAAATAATTGAAATTCCTATATATTTTAGATATTTTATTTGTATTTACTATTAAAAAATTATTTTCGTCCCTAAAAATTTAATAATTTTGTATTTCATTTAAAATTTTATAAATTCGTCATCTCTAATATAATATTTTGTGTCTGTCCCATGAACGTAGACCAAACTGCCATTTTTGGATTCATAATATTTTAGAACAGACAAACGAGTACTTACAGATGTGCATGCTTTCGACAGCTACAATCAAACTGTAAAATTTATAGCCTAAGAAACTGGTAGGAGACATATATAATATGTATATATTAGTTGATGTTGACTTCGGCTGCTTTTTGGATCTGGGGCTTTGAGATTATGAAGAAACTGTTGGTAACTGGTGTGTACCAGAAATTGGATCGTCGTCGGGTAATAACATTCTAGTGTTGAGCAGAGTGAATATTGTGAGACTAAAAGAAGAGAGAATAGAAGAAATATAAGGAACTATTTGATGTTTAAGTAATTAATTTGTTACTTTTGAAATTTCAGTGGAGAAAATAAAAACTTACTTAAATATTAGTTACCATTTTTGTAGTGTACCAAATTAGTCACTAAAATCAAAAAGACGATTCTACTTTTCTTACCAGTCACCTTGGAGTTTTCACCAACTTCTCTCACTAGACAAGAATCAACACTTAATTTACTAGCTTGATTGAGAGTTTAGAAAGGGGTTAAGAACACTCCCTGAGGCTTAAATTCACCAAAAATGAACCGGTTCACTAAGGGTTCCTAAACCCCCACTAAAATTCATTTATATCACCATAGGCAAAACTCTTGATTGAAAGCTTGAATGAATGCTTATAACGTGGAGATTACAACCCTTACCTTAAGAATGTCATACTAAGATTGTAGTGCCACCAAGTTAACACCTTTTTGTCATCCAACTTGAAGATAAGAAATGAGAAGATGAATGGAAGTATAAGACAAAAAAGATTGGGGGAAAAAGATGAGTTCATGCATGAGATCATTCCCAATTAATGAGATTCAACCTTTCAAATTAAAAATGGATAAATTACTCCCTTGGTTCCTCTAAATTTGATTCCAAATAAAAATACCCTTTTTTTACTTCAAATTGGGCCCAAACCAAGCCGAAACCCACTCAAACTTGGAATAAGGCTTTCTACAAGCTAATGTGTTTATCAAAGATCCACTTGAGTCAACCCAAAACTTCTAACCCGGGATTTGGGGCGTTACAAATCTAATTCAATATTTAGCTTTTACTCTTTTACCACAAAGCAAAAGTTGAACAAGTTTTTTCTTAAGCAACAATTACAAATGTAATTAAATGCGAATCTTGTGATATATATATACGAGATAGGATCCTATTACACAAGGTAAAGTTCTTTTAGTTTTACAGATTTATGATCATTGAATAAGTAAAAATAGATGATTGAGATTAATAATAGGTTTAAACATGCACTATCCTTAGATTAATGAGTGAGTAAGGGTATAAACGAGACACTTGGCAACATATTATTTGAGTTTGACTCAAAAAACTTTAATTCCATGCATCGTGCAACTTAGAGAATCAATTAATAAATATATTTTTCTCACATGAAAAAATTGTAATAGATAAATCATAAAACATAAGTTGATCATAATTTAAATAGAAGAAAATATATTATGAAACAAAATATTGCAATGGTTTCCCTTACCCCAAAATTCTCCTTGAAATAGGTAATGATATATATATATATATATATATATATATATATATATATATATATATATATATATATATATATATATATAAATATATATGAAACCATACAAGGAGTAACCCAAATACTTTTCATAAAAAAAGAAAATCACAACAAAAATAGGAATTTACTTCAATCTCAAGTTAGTTAATTAAATAAGAGTTAATTGCAACATACATTCCCAAACTATGACTTTTATTCTAAATTGGTCCTTAAACTTTTGAACATTTTAATTTCATCCATAAACTATGACTCCCATTCTAAATTGGTCCCTAAACTTTTGAACATTCCAAATTCACCCTCAAACTATGACCCTTATTCTAAATTAGTCCCCAAACTTTTGTACATACCAATAATATCCCCCTAAATCATACAAAACTTCAAAGTTGAAATTAGAATGTTTAAAATATTAGGGATCAATATAGAATGAGGGTTATAGTTTGACGATAAATTTGGTATGTTCAAAAGTTTGAGGATTAATTTAAAATGAAAGCATTGTTTAAGGATGAAATTAAAATGTTCAAAACTTTAGGGTTCAATTTGAAATGAAGATCATAGTTTAAGGCCATATGATGCAGTTAACTCATTAAATAATTAAATACCGATAAAACTCACGTTCCTTCTTATCCATTGTTTGATTTTCTGGTGTTGAAAGTTTAAATACTAATCAATATATTTTAAATTATTTAATTTTATAACTATTGATTTTATATTATGAATTTGTTTAGTATGTTAATAAAATTTAAGCATTGAATAATTTTTTAATTTTAATAATGATTTATTCTATGATATTAATCTTATTAATATAGATTTAATACCATTTTAAAAATATCTAGGAAAAAAATTCGAAGCTATCATTTTAATACCTCAATTGTATTAATAATAAATTATTTTAAATATAATTTTGGCTTAACGAATCATTTCTTTTTTAAATTATATCTTATTCACTGAATTTCCCTTAAAATTATTATTATTTTTTTGAATATTTAGACTCCGTTTAATTCGTTAGCAAGTTACCCCAAATCGTTAACATCTTTAAAACCTTTTTTAACCAATAATAATGTGCCACGTGGAACTTGTGACTAAACAAATATACATGGCTTTAATAAAAAAATGACAAGTGATCTTTCAAGTGCGTTAAGCTTTTTTTTTGGCTCAGTTTAGTTCCTAAAAAATTATTTAGTCCTAAATTAAATTCTATTTATTTTTAAATTTTATAATTTAGTCAAATATTTATTATTATTGCTAATATTTATTATTTTTCAAGACATAATATTTTTAGTGTATTGACTTTTAGAAGACGTATATGTAAAACTGTAATATTTATACTAAATGAAAAAATAATCATTCTATCACTTTATATGAGAAAATCATTTTTTTTCTAAAATATTATCAAAATAATTTTACCCTTCAAATCTAATATTTCTAATCACATTTGCAAAGAGAATATAAAGAACAAAAGTAAAAAGTACTTTTTCCCACTAATTTGATAATTTAACGTTTCCTTTTTAATAAATAAAAGTTTGATGATACTATTAATAATGTTGGACCCTTTTCAGAAATTCCCTTTCGTTATCTCAATTCTTTCTCTCTTAGTCTTTACCTGTTTGACGCTTTGAATCTCTGAAGAAAAAGATAAAGCTTTCATCCCGAAACAGTTTTCAGGTTTCTCCATGGCCGCTGCCATTTTTACCGATGTTCACCAACATTATTTTATTGTACCTTCTTCCTTCCAGTATTTTCTGATTGACATCGAAGGACCTGCTTTGGCCTTTTTGCCTGTGCTTGCATTTGAAGGGGGGACCAGGAGGAATATACCAAAGTTTGAGGTATGGATCTTATGTTCCATGTTTGTTAATTATTACAAGCCACTGCAGTCCATCGAGATGTTCTTATGCCATATTAACTCTTGGACACACATTAGTGGAATCTTTTCATAATTCAATCTTATTTCAACGGGATTGTTTGGATTGTACCTTCTGGAGGAACATTATTTGCTGAGGAAAACAAGCCTAGTTATCTTGTTTGACCTTGGACCTTCTGTGTTCATGATACAGCATCACTGATTCATTGATTTTTGTGTAACTTATCAAAATTCTAGATGGCATAAATCAGAGTGTCATAGTGATTATTTATGCAAATGTCATATTTCAACTGAATTTCCTTTCTTTGTGCACTAATGCATAACTTGCCAACAATGTTCTGAGATTAATTCTCGCAATTCTTCAAGTTACAAACTAGAAATTGGTTTATTTTCCGAATTTTGTGTGCACATGTTTGCAATTATTAATGCGGTATCTTGCTCAGTCACGCATGTTTGTTTATAATTCTTTTCTTTACAGGTTGGTACTCTTCTTTAACTTCGGGTTGTGAAGGCGAACTTTGGCATGAACCCTGAATTGTCCTGCACTGATGGTTAGTCAACATGCCCTTATATTTGCACCAAGAAATGTCTTTTTTTCTTCTTCTTGTAATTGTCTTATTTCCGTATGGATGCTACCTTTAAAATCTGTTTTGTATGGCCAGTGGAAAAGCTGCAGAATTTGGCCCCCTCAAAGATGGATACATGTTTGAAACTTCAACTGGCTTATCAAGAAAGTTAGTCCGCTCTATAGTTGAAATACTTGACTTTCTATTTTTATCATTGCCCGTCTTAGCTCTCTCTTTCTGGTTTTACAGGCTGTTAAGTCCGCCAACTTGTCCGGTTCTTGAGGCTCTTGGCAAGAAACTCTCCTTTGAAATAGCTGTTGGCTTAAACGGTCGGGTTTGGGTATGATCCTTGAGTTAGTAATTTTATTGCAGTTGGTTAAGCTGTATCTTGCCTTTTTCTTTTTAACATGCTACGGTTCCTTTCCCTCATCAATTCAAATGTAAAACGCATTCAGTCACTTTTTAAGCCACTGATTTTTCTTTTCTACAGACTAGAAATTATAACTCGAATCAAAATTTCTGCAACACTAAGACTACTTTAATGTTGGTGCTTTATTGAAGGTGAATGCTGCCTCTCCAGACACCATTGTTGTTGTTGCTAATGCAATCATGAACTCAGAGTCTCTGAGCACAGCACAACAGATAATTATGGTGGAGAATTTGCTCAAGAACATTCAGTGATGAAGTTGGTTGTGAAGTTCTATGGATAACTCGAGATCTATGGAGAATGGTCCGTCTTTCTCGAATCATTTCAGTCCGATTTTCGATTTATTTTATTGGCACCGGCATAAATCTGAGTGTTTTTTCATGTAGCTATATGATTTGATGGGCATACATACTCATTGATCGTTGCGTTGCTAACGGAACAACCAAAATGTAACGGGGAAAAGATGAGAAGGTGAAAGTCATTTGACCATGTTCAGTAACAATCATGAATGTAAAATCTTTGAAATGTTGGAATTTATTGTACTTTATTTAGTATTCTTCTACTGAACTTTGTATTATCATAAACTATGATTCAAAGAACATTTATTTTTAAACGGGGAAGTCTAACGAGAGATAATCTAATTTAAGATTCAAAACGATAATTTTGAGGTGCAACAGTTAAACTTTTGATTTTTTTTTGAAAATTTGAATTCAAGTCGGATTGGATAGAATATTTTTGAAAGACGTGGTCGAGTTGGATCGTATATAGGATAAAATTTTTGATTTGATCTGAAATAATATTGTAATTATCTCTTATATATTTAGGATAGTTATAGCTATATCCCTTTATATATTATTTTTCGATCAAGACCTTATTTTATCTAATAAAATTGATATATATTGTCGAAACGATTTTTTCTTAAAGGTGAAAAGGTGAGATTTTGAAAACCACATTAATTTATCTCGTTCAATCGATTTTTTTTAAAAAAAACAAATACGATTTTTAAAAACTCTCGTTTCGAAAATTCTGGATTTTCTTTACGATCGAAAAAATACGGTTCAAAGAGTCGCTACCAATCTTTGATTAGGGTGTGATTGGGCACCCAAAAATATTTGTTATTTTAAATAAAAATTAATTTTAATTAAAACAACAAGTTAAGGTCTGCGTTACCAAAATCCGAGTTCGGGAGTCGGTTACGTGCAGGGAAGGATTAGCACCCCCACAACGCCCTAAAACGGTACCTAGTCGATTAATTAATGTCTTTGCATTGAACTTTACAAATTCGAACTTAATTTGATTTTTGATCACATAAAGCAACGATGTAAATTTAAAAGCATTCAAAAGCACTCAAACAAATTAAATTAACATTACCGAGTCGTTTTAGAAAGATAAAGAGTGTTCGATTATTTACAAATGTCGAGACCAGATCTTAAAAGCTATAACAACATTTTCTCGATAAATTTAAATAAACGAACACTTCATTTTCTTTCGTTCCCAAATTTTAAGCGAAGAATCGATTTTTAGGTTTCACTTTCGGGATACACTTTTATTTTAAAATTATTAAAAGCGGACCTCAAATCAGTTATGACTGCCCACTTAAAATAATTTTAAATTAAAAGGGTATTACCCTTAATCCAATTATGTGATATGTCGAGTTATACAAATGAGGCTATCATGTAAATTATGCAAAAAGTGGATGTCATGCCAAAATATTTAAATACCACAAATTATAACTTATATATATATATATATGTATTAATATGTAATGTACGAAAGTGATTCAAAAAAATAATAATAGTAAAAAACATATTAACTCCAAAATACAAATTTCACGAAATAACTATATATAAGGATTAAACCATATTAAATAAAATTTTACTATTTTCAAATACAAACAAAGTAAGAATTAAAGTGTACATGCATATATTAAATGGTCAAATGTATGAATAAATAAATCAACCTTTAGGACCTAAAAGAATCATGCAAAAATATAGAACTCTAATGTCTAAACGACAAAAACAAAATAATCAACATTTGTGTCTAAAATTAAATGCACGCAACAATTAATAACTAAATTAAAAAAAACAGAAAAGATTTTATTCTAGGACTAAAATATAACACGCGTAAAAGTACAAGTCAAAAGCATAAACAAACAGAAACTAAATACATTACCAGTTAGGACTTAATCGAATGCGCTCAAAATATGGAGGTAAAAATAGAAATGCGAAAACATCAATTCAAGGACCAAAATAAATTAAAATGAAAACTTTGCGTGACCCAAATGGTGAATAACCCTTGTGCAAAGTGGAACCTTAAACACCTACACGACGATGTTTTAATAATTACATATATGTATTATTTAGGTTAAAAAAAACCTAGACCTATTTTATTCCTTCCCCAACCGTTATCTCTCTCACTCTCAACTCTCTTCTCTCTCGCGCAGTGCCGTTCTCTCAGGAAAAAGAAGAGAATCCCACCCCCTTTAATCGATGTCGCCCCTGCTCCGAATGGACTCAGATTGTGAAACCTCTTCACTAAAGGTAAACAAACTCTAACCCAATCCTATTGCTTTCTTCACCAAAACAAAAGGACGGATGTTGAAGATGTTAAAAAGAAAACCCAAATCCTTTTTTTTTTTTTTCCGAAAGAAAAACAGGAAAAAAAGAAACAAAAATTCCCTAAAATCAGATTTAGAAACTACCTTATAACTTGATTTTGATTTTGTTTATTTTATAATTTCCTTATTTTTGAGAAAGGTAGAAATTATGGGAAGAGCCTTTGTTACCTTTGTTTTCTGCTGCTGATGAACCCCTCTGTTTTCTATTGCTTTTGAATGGAATGATAGTCTTTTATCACCGGTAAAGAACCAAGGTACTCCGATGACTTCAAATTTGGCTGGAACCCGAACCAAACAAGGTGAACATCTTGATTCTCCTATACTGAAATGATTGTTGCTTGCTTTTTGGTTGTGTATTGCTCTTTACTTCTTTTTTTTATTGCTTTCTATTGTTAAAAACTGTGTTGCTAAAAAAAAACTGCTCTGAAATTTTCTGTTTTTATTGCTATTCAAGCAATGAGATTACATCCACTCTCTTTCTTTTTTGTTTACAGTGCTTGATCTTGTCCTTGAAAAATGTCGTCTTTTCTGTTTTCTCTATTTTGTTCTATATATCTTTTGAAAAAAAAAATGGTCCCCCATCTTTTAGCAATGGTGATGGTTAATAAACCCCCACTTACAAGCAGTTTACTAATGCAGTTTTCTTCCTCTCTTCCATAATCGTTGCAAATATGACTGAAGCCAATTGAGCAGTTTAGCAAGTGAGACAGCTGGCAAGTAGATGCTTCCCTGGTTTTTGGTGCAGTTCATGTTTGCTTCAATTGGTTTGAGTCAGGTTGCAACCGGGTCTCACTTGGGCTGCTTTTGGGCTCTTGCTGGGCCCAAATTTTATCGTGTATTGGATACGAAGCTTTCGGATAAAAACAAGCATCTACAACTGCCCCTCTTTGCTCATTTTTGTATAACGAGAATAGGGCAAAGATCAATAGATGATCAAGTTTGTCCGGCCATTAGAACTTCAAAAGATTAATCCGCTTCTCTACTATTTCAGGATAAGCGAGACTTGAAAAATCTTCAAATGGCAGGTCTGCTCCCTATTCTTTCAAGGAGTATAAGACTCGAATAATCTTCGGCAAACGTGTCTGCTCCTTATTCAGTCAGGGAGTATAAGACTCGAACAATATTTAATAAACGGGTCCGCTCTCTATTTCTTCAGAGAGTATAGAACTCGAACAATCTTCATAAAACGGGTCCGCTCTCTATTCTTTCAGAGAGTATAGAACTCAAACAATCTTCATAAAACGGGTACGCTCTCTATTCCTTCAGAGAGTATAGAACTCGAACAATCTTCAACAAACGGGTCTGCTCCCTATTCGTTTAGGGAGTATAAGACTCAAACAATCTTCAATAAAATTGTCTGCCCCCTATTCCTTCAGAGAGTATATGACTCAATCTTCAACAAACAAGTTTGCTTCACTACTCTTCCGTGAAGGCTTAAGATGATTTGCTTCACTACTCTTCCGTGAAGGCTTAAGTTTGAATTTCTTCACTGCTCTTTCATGAAGGCTTAAGATTGACCTGTTTTAAAGGTCCAACCTGAAAATCAAACATTATCAATCATTAATGTATGTTTGAAAAATATTATATTAAAAAATTTAGAATTTGATAAAATTTTTGAAAATTCATCTCTATCGCGAAAACTTGTCTGGAAACCATTGGATACGTGAATCTGCTTTAGCTCAGTTTTCGTATAAACATCATTCTTTTCAAAATCTCTAAACCAAATATCTTCATCTCGATGCTTCAATATCTTCAATCTTCAACTTTCCCTGTGAAACCTGTAGATATTTAAGTCATCATGCAATTATGAATGCCGTGATCCTATCTATGCCTAAAATTGTATGCAATTATGCAATTTAATGCATTTTATTTTTCGAAGGAATACCATCTCCTTTGATCTCGATGGAACTCGGTTTCATCTTGGGCATAGAACATTTGACCAGTTCACCCCAGCTAACAATCTCAATTCCATATTTCTCAGCTTAACAGGACCTTGACTTCTTTCTTTCCTGAAAATCCACTGGTACCCATAACCAACTTCTTGATTAATGACAATCTCTTTGGGTTTTCTTATCATGGCTGAGATTTCTTATGAATTCCAAGATTTTAGTTTCCCGTATCCATACAAGCTTACACGTTTAAATCATTGTCAGCTTCAGAATACCAGCATTTTCCAAAACCTTTTGCACAATAATACAAAATGATCTCATGTACTTCAAGTTAAGCTATATGTTTTAAATTTTCAAAATAAGATGCTTGCAAAAGGGAAATTAACAAGAAAAGACATCTCTTTATTTATAAAATACAGAGAATTTTAGGCAACTAAATGGCAAACTTTTAACTGGAAACAGTAAAAGAACAAAAGAGTAGGCGTCTTCAAATATCAATAATGCAAATGCTTTTGAACTGACAAGCCGTTAGAATGTCTCGAGTGTAGCTTCTGTCAAAAAGATCTCCAAAATTGTGATGCTTAAGAGTATGAAGCTACTTCTAAACTCCCAAATATCTATCATTGGATGCCCTAAACCAGTATTGAATCTCATGTGTATTCAATTTCTCTTGGTTATTTCAATCGAGACTCATTAATCTTTAGTCTCATCCCTGATCACCAACTGTCATTGTTACTATCCATATCTGGAGCTCTTTCCACTTCCAAAATTGATTCAGAACCTCCACCATGCACGAATTCTAAATTTAAACAAAACTCAAGTCGC